ACGAACTAGACTTCAAATCGAGTCACCCTAGAGCACCCTACAATCTAATGCTCGACAATTTTTCTTGCGCTGGTTGCGATTAAGCCGCCTTATCTCTTCCCTCCGTTCTTGCTTTCGTTCATCTTTGAGTGCAGATTCTCGTTGCACGCTTTCCCGTGACCACGCTTCCTTCTTCGCGTCGCTCTGCTGCGTGGCGCTGCTGCAATGGACGAGGTGAGACCATATGAGAAATAAGGCGAGTCCCATTGCTGGGATAATTGACTTGAGGCCGTATTGCGGAACGCTGTCACTGCCGCCGTGCTCGCAACATGCAGTGCCACGTCAGCGCATGGATGTTCTTCCACGCGGCATGCATTTATCGGTGCCAGCGTGGATTTGAACCGTGCGCATACTGACACACTCGCGCATGCCTCGTGCTTTCGCGCGCGGTGTGGCTGCTCCCCTCCTTGCGCTCCCCGCATCTGCCGCGCGCCTCTTTGGGGGCGCGGGCGGAATCTCGTGCGCTGAGGCTGTTTGTGGGGGAGGCACACTGCAGAGCAATGCAGTGCAATCCCTTTATCCCGCAAAGCATTGCCATGTTCTTTCACGCGCACTATTTGCACCTCGCAGTTCTGATGTTTTGTCGCATTCAACGTGTAGTCGCATGTTTCTGCTGCGAATGACTAATTTCGGTGACGCCTTTCTCAATCTCCCTTCCCTTCCCCTTCGCCTCCCCGCTTCTCTCCCCGCTTCTCTCCCCGCGCCCTCCAGCTTCTCACCCGGCCATTAAATGCCGGCCGACACTAGCCGGCGGAAAACACAACCACCGACACAAAACCGGCCGGCACTAGCCGGCGGACACACGGCCAGCAGTCAGTGTGTACCTGCGCCGCGCCTCGCAGCTCCCAGGTGCGACCTCGTTGATATTCCTGCACAACTCCTCCCTCTCCCCGAACTCACCCCCACCCTTCCCCAACCCACCCCAATGCCCCACCCCTGCCTCTCGTCAGTCTCGCCCGGTTCAAAGCTTTGCTTAGCTCTCGTTCGGCGTCTGAGAATGCTTGGCTTGCCCGCGTCGACTTTTCAGCAGTGGTTCCTACCAGTGCTCCCCTCCCCATAACCCTCTCCCAACCCTTTCCCCGGAACCCCCTTCTCGCAACCCTCTCCCTACAACTAAACGTTCGATACTTCTCAGAATGCTTAGCTTGTCCGCGTCGACTTTTCAGGAGTGGGGCCTTTTAATGCTCCTCTCCCCGTAAATCGGCGCCACATCGTCCCTCCGCGTCCCCTCCCTTTTCCGCCTTCCCCCCAATGGGATCCGCGGTCATGGGGCTAGCGGACATTCCCCCTTCCGCCCTATGCGCCCTCTGCGCCCTTTCCGCCCTCTGCGCACTTAGCGCCTCCCCGCATATCGATGAGTTCCGCTGCTTCTGCTGGGCGCTGCTGCGGGCAGCAGCATAGATAATTTCCGCGCCTCCGCACGGTTCGCCACTTCGCCATTGGCTGATCCGGTCGCTCTTTTCGCTTCTCCCTCCCCGCCCCATTACAACGCGCAACCCGCAGGAGCATGGAAGGCTCGAATCAGCGATCACCTGAACTACAAGAGCCACGTGGGAGTCTCTTCCGTGTAGGAGCCACGTGGATCCGCGCGGGAGGCACGTGGGAGCCGACTGGTGGCGCGCGCGCGGTCCGCACTCTGCTGGCTGCAGCTCACCCTTCGATCCAGGCCGTCGATCTTGGCGTCCGTCGCCGATTCCATCCATGGCGCGCCTCGCGCCGGCGCTCCCTTTGAGGCGCCTCGATAGTCGCACGTGGTTGGTTCGATCTATGGCGCCTCGTCCTAGGGCTCCGTCGAGCCCGCTCGGTAGCGACGCAGGTGCGTGCTAATGTCCTTGTATCGATGACCGTTTCGCGCTCCATTTCGGCAACCCGCCGCGTCCCCATTTCCCGCTCCCCTCTCCCTACTCCCTTCTCCCCACTCCCCACTCCCCTCGGCGCACCACTCGTAGATTGTCGTTTAGCCCAAATCGCGCCGCTGTGAATCGATGGCTTGTCAGTGGTAGCGGGTTTGATGGAGTGGGGTGATGATGATGCTGGGGTGGTTGTGGCAGTGGTGGTGCTGGTGGTGTGGTGGTGCTGGTGGTGATGGGTTGGCGAGGGGTGATGGTGGTGGTGTCCGGGGCATTACTCTTTCCGAGGCGTGGCAGCAGCGTTGTCTCCCTGCCAGGCCTTATGTTCAGGATGCCCACAGCGCTTGATCCGATCCGATCTTATCTGATAAGATTTGATTTGATTGATTCCTCAAAGCAGCCCAGAGATGCGGGTTGGTTGTGTCACTCGCATCATCGTTGCCTTGGAAGCATTTTTGACTTGCCTTCTCGGAATTGGCTTATTATCTGTGTGCGAGCGAGAGAGCGCCACCATTCCTCATTCGTCTCTGATGGCATGTTCCCCTCTTTGCATGCAGGGTCGTCACCGGGCCTGCCATGCTGCCGAGCCTGCCATGCTGCCGAGCCTCCTGTGGTGCGGTCGCGCGTCCTCGTCCACCGTGCCTGATGGTGGGGCCATGGTGTCGTGACGCGACGTCATCATCATCACATGTAAGTAGCAAGGCCTTTGCCGTCTGTTGCAGCATATGTGCGCCATGGGGATGTGCGCCATGGGGATGTGCGCCATGGGGATTTGAACACAATGCACTAGCACCGTCACCCGCTGCGTGTCCGCATTCGCTGCACATCTCGAACATCTCACATGTCTCACATGTCTCATACATTCCACTGCACATGGCGCCTTATGTCTTCAAAGCGCAGTTCAACCTACTGGCTGTGCTTTTAGTGAAGGGTGCCTACAGCGCTGCCCTGCAGGGGGGTGCCGAGCGATGGGAGCTTTTGAGTGACCCGCAGTGGCATGCCATGGCGGTCCATTTTTCGATAATGGGCTTTTGTCCTCCATGCACCCCTCACATGCTGCCATGCTGCCACGATCACGTGCGGCCATGCTGCGATGCGTCTATGCTCCGATTGTGTTTGCGAGCACGCCAGACCTGAATCCTTTGCACCATCTATTCATTCTGTCCCAATGTTTAACCCTGTGCAGGTACAGCTGCCGTTTGCAGCGCCAAGAAAGCATGAACTGCCACGCTTCACGTGTGTTGATCTCTGCAGTGTGGGTAGCAGTACCCACGCGTGATGAGACGGCTCGGGAGGCGCTTCACAATGACTTGCAGTGGCGAGTAGGCCTGGACCAGCGGACCACTGTACTGCATGTGTTGACCTCTGCAGTGTGGGTGGCTGTACCCACACATGAGACGGCTTGTGAGGAGCCTCACATTACATTGCTGGGTGGACTAAGCCCGGACCATCATACTCCATGTGTGGGTGGTTGCACCCAGTCCCCTGCTGTCGCGCCATTACATGTAAGTAGCATGTTACGATGAGCGCAGTCACTGTCACATCACCCCAGTCACATCGCCACCCCTTGGGTATGGCTCCCTGAATTGCCGCGGGTGGGGCGTCTGCCGGTCGCTGACGTGGCAGTTTGCCGCCCCACGCGCTTATGAGGGCAGCCACACCAATGCCTGCCAGCCTGGCTGCTTCTGGAGTGCGGGTCGCTGCTCTGTTGCCCGCACCACCACCATGCGCCAGGCCACAGCCTTCATTACATCCTTTTCAGTCACTTCCGAAGAGTCACTTGGCTGCTTCTGGAATGCAGGTTGCTGCTTGGTTGCCTGCACCACCACCATGCGCCAGGCACAGCCCTCACCAAAAGCTTCGCATTCTACTGGCCCAAGTTCCCCTTCCTCGTGTTTCTCCTTCCCAGCCACTTGTTCCTCAGTGCTGTCAAGTCAAATTGGTTGACCGACCTTTCTCTTTTGTTGTTTTCCATTGCCCTTTCCTTACCTGTGCCTCCTCCCTGCTCACAGGCATCCAGAAACTTGACATGCACAAGTGGAGATTTGTTGTAGAATCTATGATGTTTATGTAGTGTGAGGGAATGCATTCAAATGATTAAAGTGCAGCCCTGGAAGCTTTGTTCTAGATTCTCTAAGTTCTCATGGAAATGGTTTCTAGAAGCATAATTATTTGTACGCGATTCACAGTAGTGTACTGTGGCAGTCAAACAAACTTCAACAGGGACATTCTTCGGAGCTTTCGTGTTTGCTGAATCCGCTCGTCAACCGTTTTCAACCAGCTAGCCATCCACTCCAAGCCGCTGTGAGAATTTGGTAACGACGCGTGTTACTGTGCTTCGCATCACGCCGCTCTGACCATTGACTCCGAGCTCCAGCGAAAGTTGGCGAGGACAATTTGAATAGTTCTCCCCCCACCAGCACAGCACCCACCTGCAATCACCCACCTCCCCCAGCGCCGTCAGGCGGGCCGATTCATGCGTGACGAAAGCAGAATAGCTGGCCGAAAGCTGCCGAGCGCAGCTGGCGAAACTGCCGCGGGTCCGAGTCAAGAGCAGGCATCAGCCGTCGTCATGCCATGCCATGCCATGTTCCATGTTCCATCCACTCGCCTCACCTCCTCAGCAGCGGCATGTGCGTTTGCGCGTCGACGCGTCACCCTAAACTGGTCCGCTTTGCCCCCCCCACAAGCTTGCCCCACCCCCCACCGTCCCCTGCAGCAGCGTGTATCTCCTAAAAGTCGGTGGGCTCGTTGGATCTCTGCTGTCCGTTTCTAGATTCCTGAATTTTGCAAACACGCCCTCACAATCGGTTCCCCGACGTAAAGCATGCTCACTGACCTCTCATCTGCTGCAATCTTTGCAAGACTTGACATTCATGCTCCATGATTACTCTCCCAACCGACACTTCACCATTCCATAGCAGACTAGATTTTATACCTATCCACAGCAGCGCGCCGAGCATGGCGCTAAAAGACAAAAGTTGTGTTGAAGATGGGCGACACGATCGTCGACGTGCTGATGGGCCCCGTTTACGTCGAGAGCGTCGTGCGCCATTACCCGAACCACGCGGTCTTTTCGCCCGCCGACGCCAGCAGCGCCTCGCTTTTCGCGAAGCGCGAGGGGCCGCTGCCGCCCGGGCGGGTGCTTAAGCCGGGGCGCTGTTACCACCGTCGTGCGGAAGGCGCAAGGGAAGGGCGGGGTTACGGGCGGAGCGGAGTGCGCGCACGCGGATGAAGGCGGGACGGCGGGGCGAAAGCCTCCGCGGGATTTGCGCAAGACTCCTTCCGCCAACGGCAGGAACGAGGTGAGGGTCGAGCGGGTTCCGCAGTGTGCTGCTTTGCACTAAAACAAACCGTGCGGGCTGCTTCTCGTTCAAAACCGGAGTCTCACAGGTTTCGAAGTTAGGAAGGTTGGTCGAGGAAAGAGCAGCAACTGGCTCGCGAACTAGGGACTGGTGGAAGAAAAAGGAAGCCGAGGGTCGTTGAGTGATGTAGTGGTCGCAAGGGTTACCAGATCCCGACTGCAACTCTTGAACCCCTTCGCGTAGAATTTCGGTTCAGCGGAAAAAAAATTGGCGAAGTCAATCACGGCTGTCGTCCGTCGCCAGTACAGTAATTCTGGGTTGCGAAATTCGTTCCCACCTTTCGCGAAGTTGGCACTTTCCAACCAGGTTATTCCCAACCAAAGTTAGGAAGGTTGAGGCAGTTTTGGGCTGTTTGGGACTCCAACGCAAATTTGCGCAAGCCTCAAATTGCGCTTCGAACGAAACCTGTGAAAGCCATCAACTCAAGATTCTCGACGAAGCATCGAGCAGAGAGCACGCCACGTTGACGCTAAGCGCGCCGCTATCCTCGTCCAATCGTCGCGCTACCATAAGCACGTCACACTCCCACCCGCCCTCTCCGTCGCCCCGTCCCCCTACAGCGTAACTTATCTCCGCCCTCCGCGCATCCTCATTCCGCCGTTCCGCCATTGGTGCACGTGCCCGCGCGGTCCCCGCCCCGCGTCACTATTCTCGTGAAGCCCCGCCATCGCGTCAATCACAGCACCAGCGCGCTCCCCGACTTTTCCCCCGACGCCTCTCCGCCACACGCGCGCATCTCCGCCGCCGCCGCTCCAGGGCCGTTCGCCACAGGCGCGCACACCCCTGCTCACGCGGATGGCGGAGCGAGCAGGCGGCGCGCGGGAGAGACGGGCGGGATGGCGCCGAACGGGAAGACGGGGGAGAGCCACGCGGGGGACGGACAGGGCGTGGGGCTGGCGGCTTCCCCCGGGCGGCTGATGGTGCCCGCGCTGCGGCGGTCCAGGCGCGGCATGCACCGCCCGTGCAAATCGTTGAGCGGAAGTCCGGAGGAGATAGGGGGACTCGCGGAAGAGGCGTGGGGGGGTGACGACGACGGGGGAAAGGCGCGGGACGGGCGATGGCCGCAGCGCGCATGTGACTCCGCTGGGGAGCGCGCACGCGACGCCGCACGGCAGCCCGTATGGCAGCGCGCACGCGAGTCCCTTGCGCGGGTCGCTCCCCTCGTCATGCAGCAAGGCGGCCGCGCCGCTCTACGCCAGCGCGCTGAGGCCCAGGACCGCGGGCGGGGAGCGTAGCGGGGGGAAGGGCGCGGGGGCGGGGGCGAGGGCGGGGAGCAGCCCGCTGACGCGCAGCCACGGGCGCAGGCACTCGGGTGGGGAGGGCGTGGGGGGTGCGGCGGCGCTGGACGCGGTAGAGGCGCTCATTGGCGCGCAGAGGGTGCTGAGCATGGCGGAGGGGGGGCAGGGGGGAGGAGGGGGGGGGGGAGGAGGAGGAAGGGGGAGAGATGCGGGGCGAGGGGAAGGCGGAGGGGAAGGGCGGGCAGGGGTGGGCGGAAGCACTGGTGGAGAGGATGAGGCAGCTGAGTCCGCTGAGGGGGAGGAGCCCCTTGAGGGGGAGGAGTCCCATGAGGGGGAGGAGTCCGCAGAGCGGGAGGAGCCCCACGTCCCAGCGCGTGCATGCTGTAGCAGACAGCAGCCCTGGGCGCAGGAGCGGTGGCAGCGGTGACAATATGGGTGGCATGAGTGGCGGTGGCAGTATGGAGGCATGGGTGTGGGGGCGGAGGGGCAGCGCAGCCCTGACCTGGCACGGCCGCCCTGTGCTGTGCCCAGGAGAAGCAGCTTCAGCCCTCCACGCATGGCGCCTGGCAGCAGTTTCAGCCCGCCGCACATGGACTTTGACCAAGGAGAGCATGCCTGGCAGCACCCTGAACCCAGCCCCCCATGCTGCACCCCCCCACGCCTGTGCTGTTTCTCACCAGGCCCGCCCACTCTTCTTCCCCTCCTTCCCAGCGCTGCGCCGCGTCCACCACCCCCCTCGCAGCACTCTCCCCCCCACGCTGCCGCCCCCTCATACCGCTCTCCTCCTCACGATGACACACTCGGGCGTCACCAGGGGGCCTCCATGAGCCCTCGCCCTGTGAGCCCTTGCCCTGTGAGCGATGTGGAAGGAAGGGGAGAGATGGACACAGAGATGTGGTGTGATGGGGTTGGGAATGAGTGGACGAGGCAGGGGCAGCAGCAGGGGGGGCGCGGGGAGGAGGCGCGCAGTGAGTTGAAGCGCAAGGCACGTGACAAGGGAAGTGAGGGTGACAGGGCCAAGCAGGGGAGCAGGGGCCGTGAAGACAGTGGCAGTGAGGGCAGAGGGCGAGAGCGCAGCCCGCTGAGGCGCCTACTGCACGCCATCTCCCTGGACAGCAAGGGCAGTGACGGCGACAATCCCAAGGAGGAGAGCAGTGGCCATGGGCAGGAGGGCAGAGGCCAGGACCGCAGCCCGCTGAGGCGCCTGCTGCACGCCATTTCCCTGGACGCCCCCTCCCGCCCTGGCAGGCCCAGGCGAGCCGTGGATGACAGCATGGTGGGCAGCAGCAGCAAGGGCAAGGCAGCACACGGAACACAGGGTGTAGCAGCTGCAACAACGGCAGGGGCAGCGGGCACAGCAGCATCAGCAGAAGAGGACATGGAGTGGCAGGCGGCGGTGCAGGCGTTCAGGCGGAGAGTAGAGGTGCTGAACGGGGAGTGCCTGTTCAACTGGTCCACGGTGACAGCCGGCAAGGAGGAGAGGCGCGCCGTGATGTGGAAGCCCGACCTGCCCGACGTGCAGGAGGCGAGTGATGCCGGGTCGTTTGCGGCGCCCATCACACGGCACAAGCGGACACTGTCCGCTCAGATCACCAGCTGGCTGAGCTAGGTTCCCTTTGGAGAGCCGTTGGAAATGTAGCATTGCAAGACAGGTGCAGGGGCACGCTGTCGGATCACTTCAGCAGCTGCCTGAGCTAGGAGCAAATGAATGCAGATTTATGTTAGGAGCCAGAAGTGCATGATATGGGTGCTGTAAGGTTCTGTAGGCATACCTTGTCTTTTGCCATTTGCGTTGAGTTTTGATGCAACTACGTAGAACACTCCACGCACTGTCTGCTTGAACTAGAAGTTGGCTTATCTTGAAAAGGACAGATGGTTGAACATACAGAACCGTGCCTGCATAATATTCGAGCAAGTTACGAAGGGTACAAGTTAAGTCCCTACGCTGTAATACTATTCAAGTCCACAAGTTCTAGTGCACTCTAGACCAATTTACCATTGCATTCAGCTATTCTTAAAAAGCAGGGTTCAATGGGTACTGTTTGCCCTGGCTGGGACTTCCTACCTACATTCTAGAGGAGCAAGTGCATCAGCTGCAGCCCCACGCCTTGCTAACAGCCAAACCAAAATGGCGCCGCCCTGTGTGCACTTGAGCCAAAATGATTCAACAACTCGCCATCAGGTAAAGGCGCACAGCAGCATGGTTGACGTGCAGGCAGGACCAGGCACACAGCTCACAGCTCACAGCACACAGCACACAGCTCACGAGGCAGCTGCCTGTATCCGCCTGCCTGTGCTGCCCCCAGTTGCAACAGCACCTGCTGCTTCCCCGCCCTGCTGCTGCACGGCTGCCTCACCTTCGCCTGCAGCACCATCGTTACCTCCTCCAGTAGCTGTCGCTTGGCGCGTGCCACCTGCTCATGGAGGGGTGGGTGGGATGGGGAGGGGTGTGATGTGTGGTTGTGGTGTGGTGCGGTGCAGTGGTGTGTGGTTGGCCTGGCAGCACCATCGTCACCTCCTCCAGCAGCTGTGCTTGGCGCGCGCCACCTGCTCATGGAGGGGTGAGGTGGGATGGGGAGGGTTGTAATGTGTGGTCAGGTGCAGTGCAGTGTGGTTGGCCTGCAGCACCATCGTCACCTCCCCAGCAACTGACTCGCAGCGAGCGCCACCTGCGCAAAGAGAGGGGTGGGGTGAGCGACGAGAAGCGTGGGGAGTGGAATTGAACGACAGTTGAAGTGAAGGGGTGAGAGAGGGAGGTGGGGACTGGATTGGAGATGGGAAAATGCACCACCCACCATACTGACACAAAGGAGTTGCAGAGGGGGCAGGGAGGGAGGGGGGCCGCACCTCGCTGAACCTGTCGTGGTTGGCTTTAAGCAGCTCCGCTTTGTGCATACAGAACAGTTGGTTGGGGTGTGCAAGGCACGGAGCATGGGCGGAGGGTGGGAGGGCGTGCAGCATGCATGGGGGGCAAGGAGGGAGGGGGGGCCCGCACCTCGCTGAACTTGCCATGGTTGGCTCGCAGCAGCTCTGCCTTGCGCATGCAGTACAGTCGGGGGGGGGTGTGGCAAGCAAGGGATGCAGCATGGGGTGGCGAAGGTGCGAGGGAAGGAAGGGCCGCACCTCGCTGACCTTGTCGTGGTTGGCTCGCAGCAGCTCCGCCTTGCGCATGTATGGGGGAAGGCAGGAGCATGAATGGGGAAGGGCAAGGGGAAGCATAGAAGGGAGCAATGCAGAGGAGGGAGGACGAGCACACACACCTCGCTGAACTTGTCATGGTTGGCTCGCAGGCAGCTCCGCCTTGCGCATGCAGTACCCCATCGCCTCCTCCACTGACTTCTGCTGGCGCCCCGCCCGGCATGCATGCACCACATGCACCACATGCACCACATGCACCCCATGCACACACATGCACCCCATGCCACCCATGCACCGCATGCACCCCATGCACATAACACACATGGGACACCGAGGAAGTGCAGGGTAGCACACCATGACACACATGACGACACGGGACCCCATGCACCCCACGCACAGTGTTCAGCAAGTCCAAAGGGAGCACAGGGGGGAATGCGGGATAGTGTTATAACGAGCGGAGCAGACATGCAGGGCGGAGGCCCAACAGGACCAAGCATGGGCTATTCAGCAGGGCTTAACATCACCTCGTTGCAATCACCTTGATTTGGTCAATAATCAGCTCAACATAGTCACCTCGATACATTCACCTTAAAATGCTCACCTCAATACAATCACCTCGATATAGTTACCTCCCTATAATCAGCTTGATGCAATCACCTCGAGACAGGTCACCTCGCTACAGTCACCTCGCTATACTCAACTCGATAGAGTCACCTCTCTATAATCACCTAGGTATAGTCACCTCGATATAGTAGCCCGCACCAACGTCAATGAGCACGTGGGAGGGCTCGGCCACGGTGCCAGCGATGTACATGGAGCCGGTTAAGGGCACCAGCATGCTCTGACCTGCCATGGTGGGGTGAGGAATGCGAGAGAGGGGAGGGGGAAATTGAGTCCACGGGGCGCCGACATCAATGAGCACGTTGGAGGGCTCTGCGACGGTGCCAGCGAGCCATGTACATGGCTCCGGTCAAGTGGACCAGCATGCTCGCACCTGGTGGGGTGGGGCGGGGTGAGGAATGCGAGAGAGGGGAGGGGGATATTGCGAGCGATGTACATGGAGCCGGTCAGGGGCACCAGCATGCTCTGACCTGCCATGGTGGGGCGAGGAGAGAGGGGGTGTGTAGATTCATAGGGCATGGAGTTCACTCCTCCCCCAACCCCACTATGTAGCCTCTCCCCCATCCTACCTCTCCCCCATCCTACCTCTCCCCCATCCTACCTCTCCCCCATCCTACCTCTCCCCCATCCTACCTCTCCCCCATCCTACCTCTCCCCCATCCTACCTCTCCCCCATCCTACCTCTCCCCCATCCTACCTCTCCCCCATCCTACCTCTCCCCCATCCTACCTCTCCCCCATCCTACCTCTCCCCCATCCTACCTCTCCCCCATCCTACCTCTCCCCCATCCTACCTCTCCCCCATCCTACCTCTCCCCCATCCTACCTCTCCCCCATCCTACCTCTCCCCCATCCTACCTCTCCCCCATCCTACCTCTCCCCCATCCTACCTCTCCCCCATCCTACCTCTCCCCCATCCTACCTCTCCCCCATCCTACCTCTCCCCCATCCTACCTCTCCCCCATCCTACCTCTCCCCCATCCTACCTCTCCCCCATCCTACCTCTCCCCCATCCTACCTCTCCCCCATCCTACCTCTCCCCCATCCTACCTCTCCCCCATCCTACCTCTCCCCCATCCTACCTCTCCCCCATCCTACCTCTCCCCCATCCTACCTCTCCCCCATCCTACCTCTCCCCCATCCTACCTCTCCCCCATCCTACCTCTCCCCCATCCTACCTCTCCCCCATCCTACCTCTCCCCCATCCTACCTCTCCCCCATCCTACCTCTCCCCCATCCTACCTCTCCCCCATCCTACCTCTCCCCCATCCTACCTCTCCCCCATCCTACCTCTCCCCCATCCTACCTCTCCCCCATCCTACCTCTCCCCCATCCTACCTCTCCCCCATCCTACCTCTCCCCCATCCTACCTCCCCCCATCCTACCTCTCCCTCACCCCCCACTTCTCTCCCCTCCTACCGTCAGTGCCCCATCCCATCTACCCACTACCTCCTCCCCCCTCCCCCCCACCACACTCTTCCCCCCACCTCCCATTCCCCCTTTCCGCACCTTCCTGCTGTTTTGCCATGGCTTCCACTGCAACGCGCGAGGCATCAATGCGGGCAAGGGCGGTGCGCAGCGAGGCGAGGGAGTCGCCGAGCATCTTCACCTCGCCCTCCACCTGCTCGCGGATCTGCCGCACCTGCTCCACCGGCAGGCGCGGAATGTCCTTCACCGATATCTGTGAGCAGGGCGAGGAGTGGGGTGGGGTGGAACAGGGGCGGGGAACGCAGTGGGGCACGATGGCATGGCTTCACCTCGCCCTCCACCTGCTCTCGAATCTGCCGCACCTGCTCCACTGGCAGACGGGGGATGTCCTTTATCGATATCTGTTGGGCAGGGCAGGGCAGGGCACAACAGGGGCAAGGCGATGAGTGGGACATGGCATGGCATAACACATCACCTTGCCCTCCACCTGCTACCTGATCTGCCGCACCTGCTCCACTGGCAGGCGAGGAGTGTCTGTTACCGATATCTGCATGCGCCGTGGGAGGGAGTGGGGCGCAATGGGGGGAGGGGAGCGGGCAGTGGGGCGTGGCGTTGGCAGGGCATCACTGCTCTGCTCCACCAGCACGCGCGATGTCGTTCATCGGTACATGCGGTGGGAATGGGGTGCAGTGGGGAAGGGAATGGGGCGCAATGGGGGGAAGGGGGCGGGCAGTAGGGCATGGGACAACAGGGCATCAATGCTCTGCTCCACCGGCACGCGCGGGATGTCATTCAGCGGTACATGCGGTGGGGATGGGGTGCAACGGCAGGGCGGAGGGGCGTATCGGATCGATGGCGTGCGACGGCGATGCGCGCTCGGCGGAAATTGCGGGATGGCCTTCAGCGCCACGTGCGCGCACGGCGAGGCGTCGTGGGCCGACGCGGGGGGACGTCGGGCGCGGGATGCGATGGGACGGAACGGCAGGGTATGCGATCTTACGGGATAGAGCGCAAGGGATTGGCGCGAGTGGGGAAGAGCAGCAAGCACGGCTCACCTGCGTGGGGCCGAGCTGTTGCTGCTCCGCCATGGCCACCAAAGCTGCCGCCCTCCCAGCCGCTGTCGCGATCCGCCCCGCGCCCTCTGCCGCTCCTCGCGCGTCTCGCAGGAACCACGTGGCAGTCGCACCGCGAAAGAGGCAAGATCGGAGGGCCGACGGGCAAGGTGCGAGAATCGAGGGTGGAGGGTGAAGCGCGGGAGAGACGTTGGCTACTAACCGCTGGTTGCGGCGACTACACAGAGTTCGCTGGATGGCGCGGCGCGTTGAAACGAGTGAATCTGATCGCTCGATTCGAAGAAGCGACGCGGCGGGCACGGCAATGAAAGGGCACAGATGGATTTTGGCGAGAAGCTCACTGTCGGGATTTTTGGGTTGCGTAGCAACCTTATACATTTGGTTTCACTTTTTGGGGAACTGACCATGAACAGTGATTTTTCCCTGCCCGTTTGGGAAAAAAATACTGTTCAACTTTTTAGTTGCCCCAAAAATGTGAAACCAAATGTAACCAATAATTCCATAGTCGTCGATAAGTACGGCGAATGGAACAATTGGTTGGACACGAACGTGTACAAAAACAGACCCAAACGACAGCACACAAACTTGTACAAAAACGAGAAACACCAGTTGTGAGTGCTTCGAAGCTAATGCTAGAATGCATCGTGAATGCAACTGCGATTGATCTGGTATGGAAGAGGCAACCAAAGCTGCCCCACCAACGATCACAACCGCAATTGTATACACGAGGCACTTAGCACTCACCCCGAAACAGAGCCACACAACTACATAGCCTACATGTACGCACACACATACGCAGATAGAAAAACACGCAGAAACATACAGCTAATACTAAGCATGCAAGCATAGCCGATGAAGTTCACCAATTAATAAACCATCGCTACTTTGCCCCCCATTCCCCTCCCTCCCCCCCTCCCTGATCTCCCTTAACCCTCCCTACACCCCTCCGTCCCTCCTTCCTTCATCTCCCTCCCACTCCCTCCCTCATCTCCCTTCTCAGCTCACGCGCCCTGCACAAAGCGAAAACAGAGAAGTTCACACACACACGGCCTGTACACAGCAAAAAACAGAGAAGCAAACACACACGGCCTGCACACAGAAAAAACAGAGAAGCAAACACACACACGGCCTGCACACAGCAAAAACAGAGAAGCAAACACACACACGGCCTGCACACAGCAAAACAGAGAAGCAAACACACACACGGCCTGCACACAGCAAAACAGAGAAGCAAACACACACACGGCCCGCACACAGCAAAAACAGAGAAGCAAACACCTTAGAAGCCGACACACTAAACACTAGTGCAGAAAGCGACACTCGTTTGCATAAGTAGTCCCAGCTGCCCAAGCACCAGCAGAATAGATGCTAGTGCATATGCCCCAGCGTGCTCATAAAGCTCTCTCGTGCGTTCTCTCACGCACTCTCTCACGCACTCTCACGCACTCTCTCACGCGCTCTCTCACACTCTCTCACGCGCTCTCTCACCTGCTCTTTCAGGGCTCTCTCACGTGCTCTCACACGCTCTCACGCGCTCCCTCACGCGCTCTCTCACACTTTCTCTCACGCGCTCTCTCACGCCCTCTCTCACGTGCGCTCTCACGGACGCCTTCACGCGTCTCTCACGCGCTCTCTCACGCGCTCTCTCCTCGCTCTCTCACGCGCTCTCTCACGCGCACTCTCACGCGCTCTCTCATGTGCTCTCTCACGTGCGCTCTCGCGCGCGCTTTTACGCGCTCTCTCACGCGCTCTCTCACGCGCTCTCTCACGCGCTCTCTCACGCGCTACCTCACGTGCTCTCTCACGCGCTCTCTCACGCGCACTCTCATGCACTCTCTCACGCGTCTCACTCGCTCTCTCACGCGCTCTCTCTCACGCGCTCTCTCTCACGCGCTCTCTCTCATGGGCTCTCTCTCATGCGCTCTCTCTCACGCGCTCTCTCTCACGCGCTCTCTCTCACGCGCTCTCTCTCACGCGCTCTCTCTCTCTCTCTCATGCGCTCTCTCACGCGCTCTCCCACGCGCTCTCCCACGTGCTCCCTCACGTGCTTTCTCTCACGCACTCTCACTTGCACTCTCACGTGCACTCTCACGTGCACTCACTCGCACTCTCATTCGCTCCCTCACGCGCACTCTCATCCGCACTCTCACGCGCTCTCTCACGCGCACTCTCACGAGCTCTCTCACGCGCACTCTCACGAGCTCTCTTACGCGCACGAGCACTCTCACGCGCACGCGCTCTCTCACGCGCACGCGCTCTCTCACGCGCACGCGCTCCCTTACGCGCATGAGCTCTCTCACGCGCTCTATCACGCGCACTCTCAGGAGCACTCTCACGCGCACGCGCTCTCTCACGCGCTCCCTCACGTGCTCTCTCACGCGCTCCCTCACGTGCTCTCTCACGCGCTCTCTCTCACGCGCTCTCTCTCACGCGCTCTCTCTCATGCGCTCTCTGTCATGCGCTCTCTCTCACGCGCTCTCTCACGCGCTCTCTCTCACGCGCTCTCTCTCACGCGCTCTCTCTCATGCGCTCTCTCACGCGCTCTCCCACGCGCTCTCCCACGTGCTCCCTCACGTGCTCTCTCTCACGCACTCTCACTTGCACTCTCACGTGCACTCTCACGTGCACTCTCACTCGCACTCTCATTCGCTCCCTTACGCGCACTCTCATCTGCACTCTCACGCGCTCTCTCACGCGCACTCTCACGAGCTCTCTTACGCGCACGAGCACTCTCACGCGCACGCGCTCTCTCACACGCACGCGCTCCCTTACGCGCATGAGCTCTCTCACGCGCTCTATCACGCGCACTCTCAGGAGCACTCTCACTCGCACGCGCTCTCTCACGCGCTCCCTCACGTGCTCTCTCGTGCGCTCTCTCGTGCGCTCTCTCGTGCGCACTCTCACGCGCGCTTTCCTGCGTGTTCGCTCCCGTGTACATGCTCTCCCTCGCGCTCCGTCTCTCCCCTTCTTCAAATGAAATTGCAATGCGAGAGGAGACCAATCTACACAAAAACTTTACGAGGAGAGCAAAGGAGGGACACGCGACGGCGGGGAGGAGGGAAAGGCGACGGCGGGGAGGAGGGATACGCGACGGCGGGGAGGAGGGAGAGGCGACGGCGGGGAGGAGGGAGATGCGACGGCGAGGAGGAGGGAGAGGCGACGGCGAGGAGGAGGGAGAGACGACGGCGGGTAGGAAGGAGAGGCGACGGCGGGTGGGAGGCGACGGCGGGTGGAAGGGAGAGAGGACGGCGCGGTGGGAAAGAAAGGATGGCGGGGTGGAGGTAGAGGCTATCACGAGGTGGTTGGTTGGGAGAAGCAACAGGTGGGTGGGTTTGTCACGTGAAAACACACGCACAATCACGTGACACTGAGTGGGCTGAAAACAACTCACTATGAACCACAAAATAGTGCAATGTTACAATACAAAGTAAAGAGAACATCATTGTTCACTATATAAAACAAAAAACGATCAATGTGTCTAGATATTAACGTATTAGAAACATCAATTGTTAAGAATAATAAACATCCACGTTGAAAAGAATAGATTGAACCATCAAAAAACGCTTGCAATATTCCTTGAACGGTAGGCCTAAATTTGACGCTTTTAAAAAACTGCAAAAAAAAAATTGTCAACTAAGAATGTAACATCTACGCAACCCTTCCGACGTTAACGTCGAGTCTTGTTGTGTGCGTTCTTGATTTGCAGTGCAGTTTAAATTGAAGTGGCAGAACGGGTAGTTTTATGTTTGTAGGCGCTACAGAGTTGGAGATACTACACCCGCTCTGGCTAGTAACGCGTACGTCATCAGCTCCAATCTCGGCCCGTTTTATTCACGAGCCTGAGCCACGTCACGGTTCTGCCTTGGTTTGGGAATCCGAAGCTGCGAACCTGGTTTCTCCAGTACAGTGTTTTTTCCTCCAGGCTCCAGTTGTTCGAAAGCCGTTGGGCCTTCGTGCTCGAGACGCGTTCACGGAGCCTTGTGCGTCCCGCCCGCCGTGCCATCCTTCGCCGCGCTGCCTTGTCCGAAACGAAACGCGGCGCACGGCACGCTCTCGTCTCGCGTTACTAATTGATCCACTAAGGAACGTCGTTACTTTTAGTCTCCGGCTCTTGCCGTCCTCGTCGCTGCCGACCGTTCACTCGCGCGCCGCCACCAGCACCATGTGGCGGGTGGCGTGTCGCGAGGCGCGCAAGCAAGTCGCGTCGCTGACCCATGGGCCCGCGTGTCACGGCGCGCACGGCGCGCCCGCACCGGGCGGTCCTTATCCGCTGCATTCCCTCGCGCACGTCGCCCCGCCCACCGCCGTCACGCCGCATCACGCGCGCCTCATCCCGTCGCTCGTCGTCGCTCACGGCCCCGCATCCCTCGCCACCAACGCGACGCGCATCGGCGCATGGCGACACGCGTCGCCCCTCGCGCTCACGCTCACCTCCCCCTCGCTCTCCGCTCTCCGTTCCGCCCTCACGCACTCCTCCGCCAGCCTCTCTTCCGCCACCCTCTCCGCCGCCGCCGCTCTGCCCGCCGCAGCCCGCGCAAGCCTCGCCGTCCCCGCGGCAGGCGCGGCGGCAGGGCGGGCGGCAGGCGTGAGCGTGTGGAAGCACTGCGGGCGGTGCTACTACGAGCTCAGCAAGACGCGGCTCAGGTGGGTGGGGCGCGGCTCAGGTTGGCGCTACGCGGCTCAGGTGGGTGCGGCTCAGGTGGGCGCTACGCGGCTCAGGTGGGCGCTACGCGGCTCAGGTGGGTGCGGCTCAGGTGGGCGCTACGCGGCTCAGGTGGGTGGGCGCGCGCGCATAGGCGGGGAGCTGGCATGTCCCGTTGCTCTGAATGTGAAGATGGCGCCTTTTCCGTTGCTCTCTCGTGTGCCTCACCTCGTCTCGCGCGTAGCGTCCACCCACCACAAACAGCAGCTTCCGCTGCGCACAGCATTCCCTCTATTCCCTCCCCTCCTCCTGCCACAAACACCCGTGCCTCCCGCTCACATGCGCCCCCAACCCCCTGCACCATATCTCCCCTCTGCGCGCCTCACACCCCCCAGCCTGCTGGTGGTGGCGACGGCAGCAGCGGGGTTTGTGATGGGCAGTGGCGACAACGTTGACTGGGCGGGACTTGGATGGACCTCGCTTGGAACCTTCCTCGCAGCTGCCTCCGCCAATACGTGGAACCAGGTGTGGCTGCCCAGTGCCAACGCTGTCTGCTGGCCGTACTGCTTGCGGCACCCCTCACCTCGCACCCTCTCGTCTCTCGTTGCCCGTATGCATTGTGCATGGCTCGCCCTCTCCTTGCTGCTGCATCGCTGCACCGCGCTACTCTCGCCTCGTGCCTCTCTCCCCCCATTTCCCGGCAGGCCACAAGCCGGCAGGGCGGACGATCAGCCCTTCGTTGCCCCCTTGTGCCCCTGTGTTACCCGATGCGCCCCCCCTGTGCGCCCCCCCCTGCGCGCCCCCCCGGTTTCCCTCCCAGGTGTACGAGGTGGCGAATGACGCCCTCATGAAGCGCACGCGGGGAAGGCCGTTACCAGCAGGGCGGATGACCCGGCAGCACGCCATCGCATGGGGACTGCTCACTGGGGCCAGCGGCCTCGCCATCCTCGCAAACCCAGGTGTGGTGTGCGGTGCAGTCAGGTGCTGTGTGCGGTGCAGTCAGGTGCTGTGTGCGGTGCAGTCAGGTGTTGTGTGCATGCAGTCAGGTAATGCAATGCAATAGCATCAACAGGTCGCCACATTGCTTCATCTCTCCATCAACTCACCTTCAGCGGCCCCTCGTCCCCGCGCCCCTCTCTCCCGTCCCTGCTCGTGTGCATCCGTTGCATGCATGTGTACAGGCTAACAGCATGAAGGTTCAAATGGGAAGTGTATTGAGTCGATAAAAACGCATTTTGTGTGTATGTGCGTGCACTGGTGCCGTGCGCATGCGTGGGTGTGTGTGCATGCACAGGCCAACAGCATGACAGTGGGTCTGGAGGCAGTCAACATAGCACTGTATGGGGGGGTGTACACGCCACTCAAGCAACTGCACCCCGTCCCCTGCCCACCTCTCCTCTCCCCCTCTCCCCCCGTGCATGTGTGCATGCTTGCGTGCCACAGACCAACAGCATGACGGCAGGCCTGGGAGCGGCCAACATACTTCTGTACGCCGGGGCACGCCACTCAAGCAGCTGCACATCGCCTTTCTGTTCTCTCTCCCGTCCCCTCCCTGCTCGTGTGCACGCATATGCAGACCAACAGCATGACGGCAGGCCTAGGAGCCGCCAACATACTGCTGTATGCAGGCGTGTACACGCCCCTCAAGCAGCTGCACATCGCCAACACGTGGGTGGGCGCTGTCGTCGGCGCCATCCCGCCTCTCATGGGGTGAGTGAGACACTTGGAGGCATGGCGATGATCGTGATGCCGTTAATGGTGGTGCTGTTGCTGGTGATAATCATGACAGTGATGTGATGGGGATGGCGGTTAGGAGGGTGATGCAAAGTGAAGCAGGGTGGGGAAAAGGCAGGCTAGCACATGGGGGTTGGTCTAGGGTTGGGAATAGGCAGGCAGGCAGGCAGGCAGGCAGGCAGGCAGGCAGGCAGGCAGGTGACCTGCTCACCTCACATCTCTCATCCCTCTCTCATCTATTCTCACCCTTCCCTGCATGGCATCACCCCCCACCCCCCTCCTCCCTTCCCGCCTCGTTCCCCCTGTCCATCCCCACCTTTGTGCGCAGGTGGGCGGCGGCGAGTGGGGGGCTGGACTGGGGGGCGGGGGTGCTGGCAGGGGCGCTGTACCTGTGGCAGATGCCGCACTTCCTTGCTCTCGCCTGGCTCTGCCGCAAGGACTATGCTGCCGGGGGGTGAGTGAAAGACGAGGGGGGGGGTCGGGGGTATGTGTGGGGGTGAGGGGTGACGAGTTGACTCCACTCCATTGCAGAAGGGGGTGTGAGAGAGAGAGGAGAGGGTGAGGGTTGACCATGCTGCAGGGGGGTATGTGTGTGGGGGGGGCACTCAGCATTTGCGAGGCTGCCTGCACAGCTGATTATTGCCCTGCTTTATGTCCTCTCCTCCGCTCTGTTCACTTTTGCTCGTCTTCTCATGATGCCTCGTGCCGTTCACTGTATCCCCTCGCCTCACCCCTACCCCTGTACTTCCCCCCTGCCTCCCCACTCCCCACCTTCGGCTCCCCCCCACACTGCTACCGCATGCTGTCTCTGGCGGACCCCACAGGGCGGCGCACAGCAGGATCAGCTCTGCGAGATGGAGTCTGAGTCAACTCAATAGTCACTTCTTCTTTTCCCCTCCCTTACACCCTCTCCCCCTTTCCCCCCCCCCCCACAGCTACCGCATGCTGTCTCTGGCGGACCCCACGGGGCGGCGCACAGCAGCAGCAGCGCTGCGCAACTGCTGCTACATGCTGCCGCTGGGACTCGCTGCTGTCTCCCGTGCGCCCTCCCCGCCCTCCCCGCCCTCCCTACTGTCTCTACCCCTCCACCCGTGGTCCCAATGCCTTGACCCTTTATCTTTTCCAATGGCTCCGCGCTTGCCTTCCCTCTCGTCTCATAACATCAGCCCATCCGTGTCTCTGCCCATGCCATCTCGGTCTTTGCACTCCCCACTCCCCCACCTGTATGCACACTCCTTCTCTCACCTCCTTTCCCCAGCCATGCTCTCAATACCCCACGTGCTCAGCCCTCACCCTTCTCATCCCTCGCCCTTCTCATCCCTCACCCTTCTCATCCCTCGACCGTCTCACTCCAGACCTCCCTCCCTCCGCTCACCCCCACCTCGTTCCCCTCCTCTCCCAGTGGGGTGCACCACAGCACCGTTCCTATGGGAGAACGTGCTGCTAACGGGGGCGTTCACAGCAGCGGCAGCGCCCTTCTATCGCAGCCCCTCGTCAGCGTCAGCCAGGCAGCTGTTCCGCGCCAGCCTGCTCTTCCTGCCCGCCCTCATGGCCGCCATGCTGCTGCACCGCCTCCCCCACCACCCCCTCCCCGCCCATGCTCTCTCCCCCACCCCCGCGCCCGCACTCACCCATGCGCTTCTTCCCTCCCACGCTCCTGCAGTGATGGCAGGTGCAGGCGAGGGTGGGGTAGGGGGAGCAGCAGTGGGAGAGCATGGGGCGAGGGAGGAGGTGGGGCGGAAGGCATGGGGGGAGGCCGGGGCCAGGAGGGCATGGGAGGCAGCAGGGCAGTGGCGAGAGGGGCGAGGGCAGGAGGAGGGCGAGTCTTCCTCCAGTGGCGTATTACTCGGCGGCTCCCTTTCCCTTCCTCCCCGTGCCCCACTATGCATGAACCTCGCCTTCTGCTCGTGGGGGGGAGGGGTGGTGATAGTCACGCCTGCATGCACGCGGCATGCAATGCGTACCTGAAGCATTGCTCCCCATGCACCTACAGCTTAACCTATGTCAGTGCCACCCTTGAAGTTGCTGCAGTGATGTGATGAACACATTGCAATGCAAGTTGCTTGACCGTCGTGATGTCCTTCGATCCACGATGTGGTGTAGAAAACTAGACCACCCTTGTACCGGTATCTTCAGGTTCAGGGCGTGTTCCTACTACTGCCCCTTACGGTATCAGACCAACCTCTTATCAGACTCGCGTAGCATCACACTGAAGTTTGCCTAAATACCAAACCCTTTGCCCATTGTATCAGGCAAGCGTCTTGTATACGATAGTAAGGTCCACCACAATCACCACCTCAAGGTGCTTACAGATACTTTGGTGCCAACCAAACCAAGTGACACTCACAACCTGGGCATCAAAAGTCAGGTTTTTTAACCAGAATTCCTAATGTTTTATGGTGTATTTTTGAAGTGACCCTGATCGTTCAACCTTTTATTTTTAACGACACTGAATTTTCAGTGTGTGTATGTGTGTGTGTTTTTTTTTTTTAATTATTATTATTATTATTATATATTCCAACACTGTTTTTTTAGTGTTTTGCGATTTCGGACACTTAAAGCGAGCAGGCAAAATAGTGACCCTGAATTCGAGTTGGGTCCAACTAGAAGTTTGTTTTTTTTTTTCCGGTACAAGGCAAAGTCCCAACGACAAGAAAAGTGTCGCAACATGCACAAAATTGTCGCAAGCATGCATTGGCATTTCTGCTTCTCCAGCCCATCCAAATTTCCATCGAGCTTGTGAGTGATACCTTAGTGAGAAACTGCTAACTTCACGCCTAGCACCACACACGCAGCATACCCGGCGACGACGGGGAACGGAGACAACGAGGCAGCGAAAATGGAGAAGAGAACGAAGATAGCGAGTGCGACAGGAAGGGAGATAGCGGGGGCGACAGGGACAGGGAGAGGAAAGGAGATAGCGAGTGCGACGGGAATGGGAGAGGAGAAATTGAGGGCGACAGGAAGGGAGGAGATAGTGAAAGCGATCGGAAAGGGAGGAGCCACTAGCGCAGCGCACGCGCTGTTAGCGGAGCCACCAGCGCGTCGCACTTGCTGTCCACACACGTCTTATAGTACAGCTCACGCGCTTGTCCTTGAACCAGCAATGTCATCGTACCTGAACCTATGTAAAGTTTCCTGACATCATGTAAGAAATTTAATTCGTTTATAAGAACCTCCAATAATTGAGACTATGAAAAGGCGAGTAGTGACGGGAAGGGGAGGGGGAATAGAGAGCTCGACGGGGAGGGGAGGGGAGATAGCTAGCGCGACAGGAGGGGGAGGGGAAATAGTGAGCGCGACGGGAAGGGGAGGCGAAATAGCGAGCACGACGGGATGGGGAGGGGAAATAGCGAGAGCGACGGAAAGGGGAGGGGAGATAGTGAAGGGGACGGGAAGGGGAGGGGAAATAGCGAGCGTGACGAGAAGGGCAGGGGAAATAGCGAGCACGACGGAAAGGGGAGGGGAAATAGCGAGAGCGTGACGCGGCGGGAAGGGGAAATAGCGAGCGCGACGGGAAGGGAAGGGAGATAGCGAGCACGGACGGGAAGGGGAGGGGAGATAGCGAGCGCGGCGGAGAGGGAGGGGAGATAGCGAGCGCGGCGGAGAGGGAGGGGAGATAGCAAGGGCGACGGGGAAGGAGAGGAGATAGCGAGCGCGACGGATAGAGGGGGGAGATAACGAGGGCAAAGGGCCAGCTGAGCGCGACAGCGAGGGCGACGAAAAGGGTGGAATGAGAACGTGGCGAAGGCTTGTTAGCGGAGGGCGGATGCACTTGTGAGAGTGGTGCCGGAGTATCCGTGTGAAGTAACTACGCAAGCTACCGTGATACTTGTGGATATCGGCTAATGTTGGAACGATCAGTCAGAGCGTAAAGTGAACCCAAGTCCAACTTGAAGTTCCGGTTGGACCCAACTAGATATGGGAGGCGTCGGCTTCAACCCAACCAGTTGGTGTCGCGTGATCAAATGTGGAAACTTTCAGAAGCACGAAACTTTGGCGCACTGATTTTCTGCTGTGCGATCTGAAAATCTGGCGGGGAGCCAATCGGATTGGACAAGTAGTTTCGACCATCTTTTTGCCAACAGTGCTTTGATTCCTCCCGATTTCAAGCTGGGCCTCCCTTCACTATTTTGCCTGCTCGCTTTAAGAGTCAGTGTTGTATCGCGTTCAACCCTGAAACTAGAAATTGCATTTCCGCCAAGCTTGGCAAGGCAGCGGGCGCTCTTCATATGCAAGCGCCGATGACCGATGATGCTCGCAACCCTCCCACGCCCTTGTTGGCTTGGTAATAGGCCCGGACAAGCGCAACCTCATGACCCGGCAGAAGAAAAATGCTCGGAATGCACGCTTCCACCCCCAAATCGCGGAAGGATCCCCACATGTGCCGGAAGTGCAGCGGACGCTCTTTATGCGCGAATCACGATGATCGATGATGCTCGCAACCCTCGCACGCCCTTGCTGGCTTGGTGATAGGACCAGACAAGTGCATCCGCGTGAACCGGCGGAAGAAAATCGCTCGGAACGAGCGCTTCCACCCCCAAAACACGGAAGGATCCGCACATGTGCAGAATGTTCAGCGGGCGCTCTTCATTCGCGAGCCTATGACCGATGACCGATGATGCTCGCAACCATCGCACGCCCTTGCTGGCTTGGTAATAGGATAAGACAAGCGCATCCACGTGGACCCGGCGGAAGAAAAACGCTCGGAACGAGCGCTTCCACCACCAAAACGCGGAAGGATCCGCACATGTGCAGAAAGTTCAGCGGTGCGCTCTTCATTCGCGAGCACCGATGACCGAGGATCCTCGCAACCCTGCCACACCCTTGCTGGCTTGGTAATAGGACCAGACAAGCGCCAGCCACGTGACCCGGCGGAAGAAAAATGCTCGGAACGAGCGCTTCAAGCCCCAAAACGCGGAAGGATCCGCACATGTGCAGGAAGTGCAGCGGGCGCTCTCCATTCGCGAGCGCCGATGACCGTCGATGCTCGCAACCCTCCCACGCCCTTGCTCGCTTGGTAATAGGCCCAGACAAGTGCAAGCCACGTGACCCGGTGGAAGAAAAACGCTCGGATACGAGCGCTTCCAGCCCCAAAACGCGGAAGGATCCGCACATGTGCAGGAAGTGCAGAGGGCGCTCTTCATTCGCAAGCACCGATGACCGATGATACTCGCAACCCTCCCACGCACTTGCTGGCTTGGCAATAGGACCAGACAAGCGCAGCTACGTGACCCGACGGAAGAAAAGTGCTCGGAATGAACGCTTCCACCCCCAAATCGCAGAAGGATCCGCACATGTGCCGGAAGTGCAGCGGGCGCTCTTCATTCGCGAGTGCCGATGACCGATGATGCTCTCAACCCTTGCACGCCTTTAGGGTTTAGGGTTTAGGGTTTAGGGTTTTAGGGGTTTAGGGTTTGGGGTTTGGGGTTTTGGGGTTTTGGGGTTTAGGGTTTTGGGGTTTAGGGTTATTTAGGGTTTAGGGTTTAGGGTTTAGGGTTTAGGGTTTAGGGTTTAGGGTTTAGGGTTTAGGGGTTTAGGGGTTTAGGGTTTAGGGTTTAGGGTTTAGGGTTTAGGGTTTAGGGTTTAGGGTTTAGGGGTTTAGGGTTTAGGGTTTAGGGTTTAGGGTTTAGGGTTTAGGGTTTAGGGTTTAGGGTTTAGGGTTTAGGGTTTAGGGTTTAGGGTTTAGGGTTTAGGGTTTAGGGTTTAGGGTTTAGGGTTTAGGGTTTAGGGTTTAGGGTTTAGGGTTTAGGGTTTAGGGTTTAGGGTTTAGGGTTTAGGGTTTAGGGTTTAGGGTTTAGGGTTTAGGGTTTAGGGTTTAGGGTTTAGGGTTTAGGGTTTAGGGTTTAGGGTTTAGGGTTTAGGGTTTAGGGTTTAGGGTTTAGGGTTTAGGGTTTAGGGTTTAGGGTTTAGGGTTTAGGGTTTAGGGTTTAGGGTTTAGGGTTTAGGGTTTAGGGTTTAGGGTTTAGGGTTTAGGGTTTAGGGTTTAGGGTTTAGGGTTTAGGGTTTAGGGTTTAGGGTTTAGGGTTTAGGGTTTAGGGTTTAGGGTTTAGGGTTTAGGGTTTAGGGTTTAGGGTTTAGGGTTTAGGGTTTAGGGTTTAGGGTTTAGGGTTTAGGGTTTAGGGTTTAGGGTTTAGGGTTTAGGGTTTAGGGTTTAGGGTTTAGGGTTTAGGGTTTAGGGTTTAGGGTTTAGGGTTTAGGGTTTAGGGTTTAGGGTTTAGGGTTAGGGTTTAGGGTTTAGGGTTTAGGGTTTAGGGTTTAGGGTTTAGGGTTTAGGGTTTAGGGTTTAGGGTTTAGGGTTTAGGGTTTAGGGTTTAGGGTTTAGGGTTTAGGGTTTAGGGTTTAGGGTTTAGGGTTTAGGGTTTAGGGTTTAGGGTTTAGGGTTTAGGGTTTAGGGTTTAGGGTTTAGGGTTTAGGGTTTAGGGTTTAGGGTTTAGGGTTTAGGGTTTAGGGTTTAGGGTTTAGGGTTTAGGGTTTAGGGTTTAGGGTTTAGGGTTTAGGGTTTAGGGTTTAGGGTTTAGGGTTTAGGGTTTAGGGTTTAGGGTTTAGGGTTTAGGGTTTAGGGTTTAGGGTTTAGGGTTTAGGGTTTAGGGTTTAGGGTTTAGGGTTTAGGGTTTAGGGTTTAGGGTTTAGGGTTTAGGGTTTAGGGTTTAGGGTTTAGGGTTTAGGGTTTAGGGTTTAGGGTTTAGGGTTTAGGGTTTAGGGTTTAGGGTTTAGGGTTTAGGGTTTAGGGTTTAGGGTTTAGGGTTTAGGGTTTAGGGTTTAGGGTTTAGGGTTTAGGGTTTAGGGTTTAGGGTTTAGGGTTTAGGGTTTAGGGTTTAGGGTTTAGGGTTTAGGGTTTAGGGTTTAGGGTTTAGGGTTTAGGGTTTAGGGTTTAGGGTTTAGGGTTTTAGGGTTTAGGGTTTAGGGTTTAGGGTTTAGGGTTTAGGGTTTAGGGTTTAGGGTTTAGGGTTTAGGGTTTAGGGTTTAGGGTTTAGGGTTTAGGGTTTAGGGTTTAGGGTTTAGGGTTTAGGGTTTAGGGTTTAGGGTTTAGGGTTTAGGGTTTAGGGTTTAGGGTTTAGGGTTTAGGGTTTAGGGTTTAGGGTTTAGGGTTTAGGGTTTAGGGTTTAGGGTTTAGGGTTTAGGGTTTAGGGTTTAGGGTTTAGGGTTTAGGGTTTAGGGTTTAGGGTTTAGGGTTTAGGGTTTAGGGTTTAGGGTTTAGGGTTTAGGGTTTAGGGTTTAGGGTTTAGGGTTTAGGGTTTAGGGTTTAGGGTTTAGGGTTTAGGGTTTAGGGTTTAGGGTTTAGGGTTTAGGGTTTAGGGTTTAGGGTTTAGGGTTTAGGGTTTAGGGTTTAGGGTTTAGGGTTTAGGGTTTAGGGTTTAGGGTTTAGGGTTTAGGGTTTAGGGTTTAGGGTTTAGGGTTTAGGGTTTAGGGTTTAGGGTTTAGGGTTTAGGGTTTAGGGTTTAGGGTTTAGGGTTTAGGGTTTAGGGTTTAGGGTTTAGGGTTTAGGGTTTAGGGTTTAGGGTTTAGGGTTTAGGGTTTAGGGTTTAGGGTTTAGGGTTTAGGGTTTAGGGTTTAGGGTTTAGGGTTTAGGGTTTAGGGTTTAGGGTTTAGGGTTTAGGGTTTAGGGTTTAGGGTTTAGGGTTTAGGGTTTAGGGTTTAGGGTTTAGGGTTTAGGGTTTAGGGTTTAGGGTTTAGGGTTTAGGGTTTAGGGTTTAGGGTTTAGGGTTTAGGGTTTAGGGTTTAGGGTTTAGGGTTTAGGGTTTAGGGTTTAGGGTTTAGGGTTTAGGGTTTAGGGTTTAGGGTTTAGGGTTTAGGGTTTAGGGTTTAGGGTTTAGGGTTTAGGGTTTAGGGTTTAGGGTTTAGGGTTTAGGGTTTAGGGTTTAGGGTTTAGGGTTTAGGGTTTAGGGTTTAGGGTTTAGGGTTTAGGGTTTAGGGTTTAGGGTTTAGGGTTTAGGGTTTAGGGTTTAGGGTTTAGGGTTTAGGGTTTAGGGTTTAGGGTTTAGGGTTTAGGGTTTAGGGTTTAGGGTTTAGGGTTTAGGGTTTAGGGTTTAGGGTTTAGGGTTTAGGGTTTAGGGTTTAGGGTTTAGGGTTTAGGGTTTAGGGTTTAGGGTTTAGGGTTTAGGGTTTAGGGTTTAGGGTTTAGGGTTTAGGGTTTAGGGTTTAGGGTTTAGGGTTTAGGGTTTAGGGTTTAGGGTTTAGGGTTTAGGGTTTAGGGTTTAGGGTTTAGGGTTTAGGGTTTAGGGTTTAGGGTTTAGGGTTTAGGGTTTAGGGTTTAGGGTTTAGGGTTTAGGGTTTAGGGTTTAGGGTTTAGGGTTTAGGGTTTAGGGTTTAGGGTTTAGGGTTTAGGGTTTAGGGTTTAGGGTTTAGGGTTTAGGGTTTAGGGTTTAGGGTTTAGGGTTTAGGGTTTAGGGTTTAGGGTTTAGGGTTTAGGGTTTAGGGTTTAGGGTTTAGGGTTTAGGGTTTAGGGTTTAGGGTTTAGGGTTTAGGGTTTAGGGTTTAGGGTTTAGGGTTTAGGGTTTAGGGTTTAGGGTTTAGGGTTTAGGGTTTAGGGTTTAGGGTTTAGGGTTTAGGGTTTAGGGTTTAGGGTTTAGGGTTTAGGGTTTAGGGTTTAGGGTTTAGGGTTTAGGGTTTAGGGTTTAGGGTTTAGGGTTTAGGGTTTAGGGTTTAGGGTTTAGGGTTTAGGGTTTAGGGTTTAGGGTTTAGGGTTTAGGGTTTAGGGTTTAGGGTTTAGGGTTTAGGGTTTAGGGTTTAGGGTTTAGGGTTTAGGGTTTAGGGTTTAGGGTTTAGGGTTTAGGGTTTAGGGTTTAGGGTTTAGGGTTTAGGGTTTAGGGTTTAGGGTTTAGGGTTTAGGGTTTAGGGTTTAGGGTTTAGGGTTTAGGGTTTAGGGTTTAGGGTTTAGGGTTTAGGGTTTAGGGTTTAGGGTTTAGGGTTTAGGGTTTAGGGTTTAGGGTTTAGGGTTTAGGGTTTAGGGTTTAGGGTTTAGGGTTTAGGGTTTAGGGTTTAGGGTTTAGGGTTTAGGGTTTAGGGTTTAGGGTTTAGGGTTTAGGGTTTAGGGTTTAGGGTTTAGGGTTTAGGGTTTAGGGTTTAGGGTTTAGGGTTTAGGGTTTAGGGTTTAGGGTTTAGGGTTTAGGGTTTAGGGTTTAGGGTTTAGGGTTTAGGGTTTAGGGTTTAGGGTTTAGGGTTTAGGGTTTAGGGTTTAGGGTTTAGGGTTTAGGGTTTAGGGTTTAGGGTTTAGGGTTTAGGGTTTAGGGTTTAGGGTTTAGGGTTTAGGGTTTAGGGTTTAGGGTTTAGGGTTTAGGGTTTAGGGTTTAGGGTTTAGGGTTTAGGGTTTAGGGTTTAGGGTTTAGGGTTTAGGGTTTAGGGTTTAGGGTTTAGGGTTTAGGGTTTAGGGTTTAGGGTTTA